AAGAGAGAGAAAGCATTAAAAAGAAGAAAGAAAGAAAAAACACTAAAAATCTCAACTTTGCAAAAGAATTTGAATAGCTTCTAGGGTTCCAAACACACAAAAGAATCAATCACAGGCTGTATTTTTGGTAAGGTATCAGCAGGTACCAGATAACTAATAAGTATAGAAGTATTTAAAAATACTGTGCAATTTTTTTTTTTTTTTTTCCAAGTCCAAAGGAGCAATTTGCCTTGAAGAACTATTAATTTCGTTTTGGCATTTTGCGTCGAAAACTTTAAAAGACTGTATCACTTTTCAAATCGTTGCCACCATATACTATCATCCAGTCTTATATTTAAAGAAATTAAATAATAAGGAATCTGCATAAATGTATGTTTCTCGCATTGTAATAAAACAACAGTACCTAGAGCCATCAAAATTTTAATAACGTAATCTTCCATAGAATACAAGCATGTGGAAGCCCTAATTTGAAATTTGTTTTATTATTGATTTCAGATTTTGTAACACTTCAATGAATTTTTGATTAAAAAACTAAACGATTTCAAGCGAGCAACGGCAACACAGTACGAAAAAATCATTATCATGAGACTCTGTGTTGGAAATCTAAAGATACGCTCATTTTAAAATTAATTTGCAATATTGCTGTTGAACTGAATTTTATAGTTTAAGTATGTAGAACATGATATTTAATAAATAAAGGTTAAAATGTTAATAAATTAAACACAAAATGTTAAAAAAATGCCCCTTTAGACGTAATTTAAAATCTGAAACCTTTCAGTTTTTTTTAATTGAAGGACTTTCTTTTGAGACATCAGACTTCACATTTGAATTAAATGTAAAAGTATTATCTTCTTCAGATATTCCTTTTTATCTTTTTTTCGTTTTGTTTAAAAGCAGTACTAAGCAGTTTTTCCTCTAGTATACAAGGATGAATCAAAATACAAGCAAGCCCTTTTTTTAAAACAAAATTAATTTTATAAGAAACATCTACATTTCTCGTAATTATTTTTTAAAATAATCTCCTCCTTTTATGATACATTTTCCCCAATGTTTTGATAATTTTTTCATTCCATTCTCATAGAATAAAGTTGGATGGGTATCTCACCAGTTGCGCAGGAAGGTTTCCAGTTGATCTTTGGTTTCAAATCACTGTCTCCGAGTGCTTCTTTGAGGTGTCCAAACATGTAAAAATTGCATGGTGATAAGTCTAGGCCGTCAGGTGGATAATCATGCATTTTTCAGTGCATTTTCATCAGTTTTTGCTGCACTACACCTGCTGCATGGGGCCTTGAATTGTTGTGGAGAATCAAAACTTTCAGGATGGGACAATCTCAGCTTTTGTGTCGATACTGAAGCCTAACTTGATCCAGTAGTTGGCTGCATTACTGGTCTGATATCCGTGAAAGAAATCCACCATTAGGACGTCCTAAAAAACCTTGGCCAACACTTGTCCCCCCAGATAAATGAGTTTTAGCCTTCATGGGGTTTCTTTCACCTTTCCTTCCACAGTCCATGCTTGCATGCCTCGATTGAGGGGTGTAATGATATACCCACGTCTCATCAGCGAAGGCAAAGAAAGCTTCCCCATCTTTTTCAAAATGAGTTTGAAGCAATTGAGAAATGTGAACACATGCAGGTTTTTTATTATCATTCAGCAAATTTGGAAACCAATGAACTGAGATTTTTCTGAACCCCAACTGCTTTCTGATGACTGATTGGACACTTCTATAGTCGACACCAAGTTCTTCCGAATTTGAAGTATTGTGCAACATAGATCCTGTTCAATAAGCTCACAAACACGTGCAATGTTTTCATTAGTCGCACTGGTGCAAGGACAGTGGGGGACAACATCAATTTGCAACACATCCATGGCCTTGCATGAATTCATTTCACCAATCCTTCACTCTTGACCATGAATGGGTAGATTCTCTAAACTGAGCATGCAGTCTGTGGTAAATTTCAGCTGGTTTCATGTTTTCACAGATGAGGGACTTTATAATTATGCACTGCTCAATAGGAACAGGCATGCTCCTCTCGCTCATCATAAGGACTACTAACTAAAGCACAGGACAAGCTGGCTGGTCTGGTTCTCTTACTCTAGGCAACACCACTTAATGACTTCAACTACCCAAACATATACAAATACCCATCCCGATCTCAGCCATTAAAGGATTGTTCATATTTAATCGCCCTATGTAATACAACAGACTTCTAATAATTCACGATCATTTAATACAGAAATGACTGTGAGCTGCATTCAATTTTAAACTTCTCAGGGTTACAAATGTAAAACTCTGTACAGAAAGGTTCATTACACATCATCTTATTCATAATATACATTAAAATTTCTGCCAGCTTCTAAGGGATCCGATTTCATGCTTGATGTATATTGGAAGAAAAGGAATCAAGGTACAAATTAAGACAATCATTTTGGAATTATAATCAAGACAATAATATTTATTCATGACATTTTTAGAAACTCTGAAATTTCACAGCCTTACCCATAATGCTCGGAGTGTTAAATGCAAGCAAAATTTCAGTCTTCAGAAAATTAAGCATATGGTAAACATAACTGAAATTTTCTCTTGCAAGTACTATATGAAATAAACTTTTTAATAAAAATACGACATAACATGTTTGGACAGAAGTGAACTGATTTTATCATTACAGATTTTTTTAGCATTTGCTGTTTCTGTAAGAGTTCTCTTTTCATAATAAAAGCAGATTGTAAATATCAGCAAATTTGCTTTAGATAAAGTCCTACTTTGTTAAAATAAGTTTGTTTGCAGCATTTATTAATATTAATTCTGAATTTGAGCAGTTTATTTTTAAATTGCACAGTACATGCCAATGATTTATTTATTCATAACTTTTCATACATTGTGTTCAAATTTAAAGAAGCATCACAGATGGGTTTCCTTAAATTCTGTACAAACTTTGACAGAATATAATGCTTTGCACGGACTTAAAAATGCCTGACATAATAGGCTTTGAATGCTTTTAAGGTTCTTTGATCCTGTGATTGGATTAAGGAAGTGATGTTTGGAGGAAGGAATAAAACCTCTACATTTGGATGTAATGGTTTGAGGGCTTTAGCACCATGTCCTGAAGCATTATCAAAAATCAGTAGTATTTTAAAATTCAGGTTTTGCTATTCTAAGCAATGTCTGACATCTATAATGAATGAATTTTCAACCAGTCATTAAAAAGAACTATCACAATGTGGCTGATGCTTTGCAGCATGCCATGTATAATTGAAATTCTCGCATTAGACACATTAAATGGAGAAAATTAAGAAACCACACATGTGCAAAATCGTAAGTCTGCATTCTGCAAGGATTTACTATATAAAGATTTTTCTGACATTAAAAATGAAAATGTGATAAACAAAAAAAAGAGACTAAAGAAAAGAGAAATTATCTTTCAATAAACCAAAAACTGAATTTTAGCAAATTTTGCAGTGGTATTAATCTAATTGTGTATATGCAAAATGCAATGGAAAAATTTGCCGACAAATCAAATTTAGAAAATTTTGGGGGATTTTATAAACAGCATATTTATTTATTTATTCTCCCATTTAAGGGCATACTAAAATTTACTTTGAAAGCAATTTTGTTATTGAATATACACACTCCTTTTTACATAAAGTTCTTTGACGCATTTTTACGTTCTCAAAAAATTTTTCTTTGCACTAAATTTACTAGCATTTTCTTTGTATACTGTTATGCTTTAAAAATATAAGTTTTATATTCAATAAATTTTGATTAAACTATTCTTAAAGTATGAGTATGTTTTAATTAGTTATTTACATGCAAATAATTCAGATTTAATGTGGAAATTAGAAAGGGAAAAGTAACAAAACTCAGAAAAACATAGCCTATAAATCTGAAAAATTCACTAATCTGCACAACCCTTGCTTTTTTAGATATGCATATTATAAGAATTCTACTGTTTTTTGCATTTACAAATATTTATTTTATGATTACAAAAATATATCTTTTTGGAAGGAGAAAAAGGCCCGACTTTGACCTCAAACCTGTTCATACATGTCATTATCTTTTAAGTAAACAACATTTCCCTAAATCAACTGTAAAATGATGTATTATTGCAAAATGATACAATGTTTTATATTTTGTTGATAAAAATTGTTCTAAAAGTGCATAAACAGCCTCTGTATAAAGGACTCCCTCTGCAAGGAAAAAATTAGACTACTTATTTGCATAATAAAAATGAAAAAACGGACCCATTTTATAGAAAAATATAAAATAATCCTCAATAAACTCAAAATTTATAGCTATTGCCTCCTTCAAAATTTTCAGAGGATGTGAATATCTGCAGGCAGATTTAAACTTAGATGGACCAGTACTATCACTTGTTCACTTCGTCATTAATAGGAAGGAATATGGAATCTGTTAGAATAAAAGCAGACAGTAAATAGCTTTTAACCAAGTTTTCAACTCAATATTGTTTCTTTAGAAACATCTTTTCGATATTTGACTGCAAGCTTGGTAGCTGTATGACATGCTTGGAAAAGAAGCAGTATGCATAAGAGAATCTCATTCCATCTTTTTCACATGGCAGAGTTATGGACCATCAAAATGTTTGTTACTAACAACATAATAAACATGTGATGGAAAGAACACTACAACAGCAGAATACAGTAAATAACAATGTAGACAATTTAGAAACACTTATATGCTTCTGAGTCAGTATTAACATTTCCAGTAGTTATTGCACAGAAACTTTCCAAATGCTTTTGAATAAAATATGTATTTCCTAAAGTTACCTCCAGCCAGTTCTCTCACCTTTAAAAAAATATGCATATTTGTAGCTATACAAATTTGTCTGTTGTAACTTACTTCAGCTAAAAGCAGGGAAATGAACAATTAACAGTGCTGATATAATTATGTATATATGCAAAAATTTCACTTTCATGAAAAGAACAGTTATTTGATATACAAAACCAAAAATATTACTAAAATAAATGTAATTACAATTACTTTGATCATCTTATGAGGCAAAGAGCATTCATCTTCTCCAATATAAAAGTATGGCCGAGATTGCTTTAAACCTTGATAACCTTGTTCCAACTCTGTATAAGACATTGAAGAACTTTGTACACCTGCAAAATAAATACATGGATTCAGAGAGATAAGGTAGACCCTCCACACCCCCCCCAAAAAAAAATTAATGAAGTTTTCAGCACAAGATCAATAAATTAAAAGTAAACTGTAAAAAAATACAAATATTATAAAAGTTTCAATGTTATACACATAGAATAGGAAACTGTTTTAAGAAACCAGATCTATAAATTTCCGAATGGTTACCTAAATTCATTTAAAATAGTAATTTTGATTGGGGTTAAAAAAAAATGAAAATTATTAGCTGCAGCTTTAGTATCTGGAACTGCTGGCAAATTTAAAATCTTAAAAACACCTGCAGGTATTCATTTCAATCTCGTCAATTTTAGCAAAGGTCAGAAAGAGAGTCCCCATGAAGTATGATTAAAATTCTTTTGATCATGGGAAATCACTTGAGGGTTGTTTGCTAAAGAAAAAGTATGGGTTCATGGAAGACTTTTTAAGAAAAATTCACTTTCAAAAACTCTCATGCAGCCATACTGTTCAATGGGATTTCAACGGGTTGAATTACAAGCATACAGTGGTTTTCATCTTGCTGCCAAAAAGACCCCACAAAGACACACAACATCAAGGTTGCATACAGCAGTTTATGACAAGTTGCATACAATACTAGGATAAAGCTGCCAATCCATTAAGTTGTTATTATAGGCAGGCTATTCTATATAAGCATTTGTAAAACTGATTATTAGTTTTCTGGAAATGTAACACAGCATATGTAAGCTGTAAATATTTTTTCTTTTATTTATTTTACTTCATTTAAGTGTGTGAAAGAAAAATGTTAAATTTTATAAATTCTTACTGCAACTAACACTGTAAACAATTTAAATTAGTTTAATGTAGTTATCAGTAAGCAACATAAATAGGAATTAAGAATGTAGAGAGCATTAATTTACCTGAATATAAATAAAGCAAAAAGAATTAATCAAGAGGCATTATTTAATACCATTTTAAAAAGGTAGATTGTGTAATGAATTTACACAGATAACCTAAATAAGTGCCAGCAGATTTTGTAATTGTGACTGCCAACAGAAAATAACAGTCTTCTGTTTCTTTTGCTGCATCAAAGCACAAATTTCTTCCAATGTAATTATCACAAAGTGAAATATATTAAAATTTCTACTGATTGTATGGAATACTTCACAGATAAATCCAGTTTGCATAATTTCACACTTATGATGGCAATTTTCATTTAAACACATCAGGTCATCTCTGTATAACATTTAATGAAAATATTATGTAGCCTCTAAAAGTGAAGTCATATTTGATGTGACTCCTGCAGATGACATGAGTTGAACATAGCTTTTTAAATAATACTTTTAAATACAGCAAAATTAATTTTGTTTTTGATTTTTATTAGCCCAAATGGACAGTAGCCTAGGAGGGCTATTAATCTCGAAACAGCATTTTGCATTGAATGACCATAAACAGATGTATCACTTTCCAAATTGTTGCCACCAAAATATTATCACTCTGTATTATATTTAAAGAAACTAAATAATGAAATCTGCATGAATGTATGTTTCTTGAATAGTGAATTCTCACAATTCAATACCATTAAATTTCAAAACACCCTATAAATATGTAAAATAAGAATTAAAGAAATGTGAAATACTAAAACCTCAAAAATTACAAAAAACCAGAAAAAAAATTTACAAAAGAAGAGGACTTCAATCAAATCTGATATAACGTTATCAAGAGAAGGATACATTAGAGTAAACTGCATCCCCCTTCCACTTGAAAACACTGCATTTCTGTAATCCAAAATTAACTGATGAACTATTTCAAAGTATTTAATTGTAACAGTTCACCGGAAAATTTTGAAGTCCTGCCCGATGCAGTGTAAGTTAAAATCAAAGCCCAATAAAGCAACTGAAAATAGAATTGAAATGATACAAAACTTACTCATTGTTCACACAGTCAATCTGTTAGAGACCTAAACTAATATTTCATATGAAAAAACCCAATGTTTAAAACTACTGAGACACATTTTCACAAAATGCATGTCTTTGTCAAAATGCTAAGTCTTAGTCATCGTGATAAGCCTATGATGTGAAAACGTTTTACTTTTTTAACCTGGTTTCTATTCTTCCTTTCCTCTTTTAATTTTTTTTTAAATTTCTTACAAGCATTTAAATCACCATTTAGGATAATTCTTCTTTGCTTTTGTTTGTCAATGATACTAAATTGGCAACCCTAGGCATTCTTTGTGATTCTAAAGCTTTGACTGCTGGTTTCTGTTTCGCAATTTGTAGTTGGTTATAAATTTTCTCTATTTATTTCTTGAAAGTTTTGTATTTTTATATTTTAATATATATTTTTCAATTTTAATCTTGCATTTTGTGAAAAAGTGTACTTAATTGTTTTAACATTTGAGTTTTTTAATATGAAATAATTTTAGTATTATGACTTTATGTCTCTAATGGATTGACTCTGTGAACAATGAGTAAGTTTTGCATTATTTCAATTCTATTTTCAATTTAAAGTAATTTCAGTTACTTTATCGGACTTACATTTTTACTTACACTGCATCGGGAAAGACTTCAAAATATTGGGTGAACTGTTATAATTAAATACTTTAGAACGGCTCATCAGCTAATTTTGGATTACAGAAATGCAGTAGTTTTTAAGTGGAAAACGGGGTTAATTTAGTCATGTATTCTCCTTTTGATAACATTATATCAGACGTGATTGAATTCCATTTATGTATTTTTTCTGGTTTTATAATTTTTGGAGGTGTTAGTATTTCACATTTCTTTTATTCTTATTTTACATGTTTATAGGGGATATTTTGAAATTTAATGCTACTGAATTTCACTTCTTTGGGATCTTAATGAAACTGGTTCTAGATTTCTTACTTTTTGTCTACACTGATTAATTTTCAGCAGCATATCGCATGAAAATTACTCGGAATAAATTTATTTAAAAATGAAAAAATTTTGTGATAATATATACATGTTATGATTTTAAAATGCGTAGATGAAAGCACTGGAACTTTTACAGCTTACAATATTACATAGATGACCGTAGTAGCTGAAGGTAGGGCTGAGTCGAAAAACATGATGCATTTAGCACAACTGAGCTTAAAGGATCACAATCTTTATTTTTTATGCATATCAAATCATTCTTTTGCAAGCAAGATATGCACAGTTATAGTTGAATACAATAAGCTTCATTTTAAAGTATGATGTCGTCTTAGGCAAATAAGCTGCAGCGTGTAACAGTAGCATCTTGCCAGCAAGGAAGTGTAAGCGAAAGAGAACACTGCAACACAGAGGAAGAAGGGAGTGAGTCAATAGTTGCAGTTCGAGTTGGAGAGAGTTTTGGTTTGCAATTAATTTGATTGGACAAGAGGTATCTGCATTAAAATGTTATGTAACACAGAAAGATCTCGGATCTGGGAGAACAGACGAATTTAGGGGGAGAACAAATTTTGAGGTCTCCAATAATTTTTTAAAGCAGCTATCGTATTTTGTTATATTTTACACATATATAGGTACTCTTCTGTTATCGGGACTGGATTCAGAAATGTATGTATGCGCATGCATATGTATGTAATGGTGTGAGCATATACTTGCGTACATACATATACACATCCATCCATTGTATGTGTATACATTACTAAATCTGGTCCTGATAACAAAGAAGTACCTATATATACTATATATAAAGGATGAAAATATATGAAACAAAAGAAAAAATAAGATAATTCCATTTCTGTTAGATATTATACAGATGTAAATACTCTTTAATGGCAACACTTTTGATGTAACTGTAATCAAACTTCTTGAAAAGTAATTATAAATGAAAATTACTTAATAATATAAAAATATAATTAATTGAAAATAAGCATAATTAGTTAACGATGTAGTAATTAGAAAAGAATGACATATACAAATAAGCATCAAACAAACTGTAGTAGTAATTAGAAAAGAATGGCATATAAATAAGCATCCATCTGGCAAGAAATAATTAACAATCTGTAGAATATTTATAAATCTTTAAACATTAATTTTCTGAAAACCAAAAGCAATCATTAATTTTGTAATCAAATATAAAATACAATTCTTTAAATTAATTTATTAACATAAATAAAATTTCTAATTTCTGATGTTAAGTTTAAATAAAATATCGTGAAGCTACCAAATAGTTTAAGATCTGCACTTAATTAAAAATGAAAAATGATTTATTAAAATAAATTCCCATAATTTATTCAACACCAAAACTTTTTGAAACATTCTATAAAACTTGCTTCAGCTGCTTCACATACTAATATATTTTAGAGACAAGAAAAAATTATCTATTATTTATTTACATATCTTCATGCTTTTCATAACACTTACATAACTGCTAGACACAATCTATTGTCCTGATTCTAGATAAATTTATCTTTAAATGTATGATATAATACCTTATCTTAAAATAAAATACAATTTCCAATTTTATGTTTTTGAAAGGAAAAAAAAAAAAAACTAAGCTTTGAGAGATAAAATCTTCACAGATTCTTTAATACATCCCCACAGATTAATCTCTCAGCTAAATTATTAACCAAATTTTTCATACTGCTTTCAGCAAATACATTTTTACTGAATTACAGTAAATCTATAATGCTAATTCTAGGACGGTTCACTGAATCTTTGTACAAAATGAAAAATATTCTTGCCATCTATCTATCAAAGTTGGCGAGATTCAAAAGCTACTAATTTTATCCAAAATAAGGAGTGGAAAAAATCTGAAATATGGAATTGTGGTAGCCTGGAATAATCATAAACAAAATAAAAAAGAGAGGATTAAGTCAACATTTTTCTAACAAAATGGAAAATTGTAATTTACTAGCCATAACAGCTAAGAGAGTTGTGTTTTTCTTTACAATGGATATTCAGTATCTTTTGAGAGATTAATAAATGCTTTCTTCCTCACTCACCTAATATTTAAAATGAAGGATTCATAATAAATTTAAATTTTTGGAAATCTGCACAAAAGA